GTGCCTCAGTTTTCTCATCTATAAAATGGGGAAAACCATGTCTACTTCAGAAGATTGTTATAAAGATTAAATGTGATGTTGGTGTTAGTTATCGCAATGTTAGTTGCTATAACAAGAAATCCTCCAAATTTCCTGTCATCATCCAATGCATTTTGATGGGTGACTTCTTTCCATATGATGTCCTAGGGACCAGGATCCTTCTACTAGTATATTGTAGCTCTGTCATCTCTTAGGAACTAGTCTTCCTCTGAATCCAAGTGGCAGAAAGGAAATAAGAGTATGGAGAAGGCAGATCCAATTCTAAATGCTTTGGTCTGGGAGCAACACTTATTGTTTCATTCATATTCCATTAGCAAAAACAAGGAGGGCTGGGCCCAACCAGCGTAGCTCAGTGGTTGAGCATTGACCTATGAAACAGGTGGTCACAGTTCAAATTCCCAGTCAGGGCACATGCCCGGGTTGCAGGCTTAATCCCAAGTGTGGGGCACGCAGGAGGCAGCTGATCAATGATTCTTTCTCATCATTAATGTTTCTCTCTCTCACTCTCTCTTCCTCTCTGAAAACAAAACAAAACAAAACAAAACAAAACAAAAAGGGCTGGGATTTTAGACTCTATATGGACAATCACTTCTCAGTGGCAACTCTACTATACAAAATGAGGAGCATGCAACTCAAGGGGAGAGCTAGCTGTGTCCACCACATTGAGAGAAATAATATTAGGATATTATTTGGGTATTATTAAATGTGAGAATTATGTTAAGTGTTATTGCTAATATTATTTTTATTTAATCCACACAATAACCATGGATGTAAGTGCTACTATTATCCACATTTTGTAGGAGAAAACTAAGTCCTCTAACAATGTAGACATATTCCCAAACTCACACATCTGGTAACTGGCGGAAATCCTATAAATTCTAAATTCAGTACATTCTCTTGTTACTCCATAAAGAAATGAAGGATGTCCTGAATGTAGGGGGCAGAGCCATGCCATGGTGGCTATAACCAGTGAAGAGGGCGGTTCTTGGTGAAGCTTGCCAGTTGGGCCCAGGACAAGGTCTGGATTGGCTAGGAAACATAGGTGTAACCACTCAAGTTTCTTCCCAGGGTACATACATGGTGAGCATCTGATTGGGACTAGTGGGGAAGAGGCAGGTGTTGCTTTGTTTGGGATTTTGTTTGTTTGTATGTCTAATAATAGAAAACCAAGGTAATTATATAATCATTTAAACCCTATCAGGTAGGTTCTGTTAGTATCACATTCATTTTACAGATGGGCTAATTGTGGCACAAATAAGTAACTTGAGGTCACACAGCTAATAAGTGACAGAACTAGTGCTCAAATCCAGGAAGTCCAGCCCCAGAGTCCTTGCTATGTTGCCTTTTGTTTACAATGAACGTAAAGAAGGAAATAGCAAACAGGACCCAGTGGGGGAGAATTGTCAGAAAAAGTCACAGTCAATGGGACATTGGGCTACTTTCCTGTGGACATGAGACCCACCATCCCAGGACAGAGGAGTCAGGGAGAAATCCCACTGACCAGACTAGGTAGGAATTGCCACCAAAATCAAGGCGCATTCAGATTCGCAGCTCCACACCAGAGTCCAGTGATCTACTCCGAGCTTGTAGGAACACAATTGGGAAAGTGAAGGCTTGCAAAAGTCAATGGGCAACAAAACAGCCTCTGCTTTGTTCTTCATCAGCTGAGGGCCCTAAGTAAGGACCCTCATAAAACAAGCCATCACCTCATTCATTATAATCAACCATTTCTGCTATGATTAGACAGTTAGACCAAGTACACCTGCAATAGCCAAGCAGCAGGTCACATTTACATGCGAAAGAAGTGCTCCAAGAAGGCCCTGCAGGAGGGGATCTGGTGTGACGGTGAGGACTTGAGCTCTGGAGTGACAGGCTTGGCCAGTCACTTAACTTCTCCAAGTCTCAGTTTCCTTATCTGAAAATAGAGGTAGCCACCTCCACCTGGCAAGGCCGTGGCCACATAAAGGAGATGCCACTGGAAAGCAATAACACAGGCAGAGCCTGGCACAGAGTCAGGGTCAGTAAGTGGTAGGGCACAGTGTTATTATTAGCGGCGCTACTTGTTATGAATTATAAACAGGGTGGGAAACAAGCAGAAGTCAAGTGCATTTTAAAGACACGCTGAAGGGGAGATAAAGGCCAGAGAAGCAGAAGGCCCTAAGAAAAGTACATCACAGCAGCCATTTTATGTCTGCCTATGGTCACAGGAGCTAACGGATGTGAAAGTGTTCTGCAAGCCTCACTGCCCTAGATGGCATCATTGCTCTGTGATTGTGCAGGTCTCAAGCAGTGTGGACATGGACATCCACACACTGTGTGCTACTTGGGCTTTTTAAAATATATATTTTTATTGATTTCAGAGAGGAAGGGAGAGGGAGGGAGAGATAGAAACATCAATGATGAGAGAAAATCATTGATTGGCTGCCTCCTGCACACCCCCTACTAGGGATTGAGCCTGAAACCCGGGCATATGCCCTTGACCAGAATCAAACCTGGGACCCTTCAGTCAGCAGGCTGACTCTCTATCCACTGAGCCAAACCAGCTAAGGCTAGTTGGGCTTTTGATTCCATCTGCACATGGAAGCAAGTGGAGCTTGGCTGAATGGAGCACGCATTACAGGAGGAGGCATGGGTTTGTGTAATCCTAGGAGTTGGGGGAGGGTTTGACGTTATAAGCAAGGTTACCAAGGGCCACTGAGGACTATGGAGAAACCAATCAGAGCAAGTCACTAAGGACTCCTTCCCTGGCTCATCTGCTCCCTGGAATACATGAGCCCACCCTCCCACCCATGATGTCTACATGACGTGGAACATACCACCCCAAATGCTAGGCGACTAGAGCAGGCTATCATTACATTCTAAAAGGCAGGAAATTATGACAAAGAGATATGAATAATAGCCTCTGTATAATGGGACTGTAGGTGACTTTTTCCCATTCTTCATTACACGCTCATCAACTAATGTTTCATGGGGGCCTTATGTGTGTATTTTCCAACTTTTCTATGCTGAGTGTGTGTTATTTGGAAAGTCAGGAAAATAAAATGAAACGAAAGCAAGACTCTCTCCCTAGTGGACCTGGCTGGTTTCATCAGCCCTCTGGGAAGGGGCATTCAGGCTCTGGCTGCACTAACTGTCCAGCCTTCACCTGCATTTCTCCTTCCTTCCCACAGGGCTTAGGGAAATCTCCTAAACTGCCTGTAGGAGCCCAGGCATTCTCCCACCAACCAGCGAGGAGCCTTTGGTCCAGGAAGAGATGTGCCCTGGGAAAGAAACACCAGAACCAAGAGGAAGGAGGAGCGAGGAGATTGCCTAGTTGTGCAGCTCGAGGTCCCAGCTATCACTTCAGGTACCTTCCCCGGTGTTGTTTCCATCTATGGGGACATGTTTAAGGCAGTTTTCTGCCAATACGTTTTGTAAAAGGCGCCGAGAGAACGTAAGAGCCGTGGTCCCCTTGGGAGCAGCATTCAGAAGGGCCTCTAGATGGCGAGGGAAAGGACCAGCCAGAAGAAGGAAACACTTGACTCACTTCTCAGGCTTCCACATTCCTGAGGTCGAACCTGGAGTGCAGGGCTGGGGTTCCCTCTTTTCTCCCTCCTTTCTGAAGTCTCGGTGTCCTCCAGCCCTCGGTGGGGGACGACGGCACACCTGAGGCTCCAACACACCTCGCCCCAGCAAAGCCTTCCAAGGTTTTAGCTGCAAAACCTGGCCCGGACGTACCCTCCTCCAACCAGCAGAGGGCGCGCGCCACTCGCGAGAAGGCGGGTGCACAACAAGCCCTGGCTGGAAGTGGCCAGGAGAGGACGGCGGAGGGGTCCCTCCTGAAAATGAGGCGGCAGATGCAGAGAGAACGATGGAGATGTCTGGGCAGGGCGGCGGCTTGTGAGTGAGGGTGAGAGAGAGCAAGTCTGAGTGAGGGTTAGAAGTGGATGAAATGGGAGACTGAGGAAAGGTTGAGTTTGTGTTTTGTGGAGATGAGACGAAGTAGGACGGAGGTTAGGATGAGATGAGGGGCAGGTGAAGGATGGGTGAGATGGGAAACGGTGAGATGACCATGTGTGTTGGGATGAGATTGGCATAAAGTAGGGTGAAGGTGTGGGTGGAAGGCAGGGTGAGGCAGACTGAGGTCGGCTGCAAGGTGAGTGTGTGTGTGTGTGTGGGGGGTGTATCTGGAACATGGCACCTCCCTCTTGGCTGGGCCCATCACCATGGGCTCCTCCCTCCCCTCCAGTAGCAAGCACCCCAGCCTCTTTGCCCTCGCTCTCTCCGGCTCTTCTTTGGCAGGCCTTTCTGCTCAGGCCTACACTGGGCATCTCACTTCTGTCCTCCCTGAAACAAGGTTCTGGTGAAGCAAGGAATTGAGAGAGGAGGCAGCAGAGAACTTGGGAGCTTTAATGGGTCTGGAAGGGAATAGAAACACACCAGGCCTGTCCAGCCGAGAGAATAGAGGTGGGAGGACGGGGCCCCAAAGCGCGTAGGTAAGTCATGGGGGCAGTGGCCCTGACCAAGCCTGCTGAAGTGCCCAGGAGGAGAAGGTGGCCTGTGAGAGGCCTCCACCCTACAGGGGTCGGGGCAGCTCCATGGGGAAGAGAAAATATGAGAAAAGATTTGGAATTCAAAAGAGAGGGGGGTCTTAATGGAGGGGGCTTCCCGGAGCCAGGCCTAAGCACAGGTGGATGAGAGGAAACAACAGGGAAAGCCGAAAACCTCCCGTCAGGGATCTGAGGTCTAGAAGAAGATGGAAGTTAGAGGAAGTGGGGGGACACAGTCACCCTCCCCTAGGGGTTGGGAGGTGGGGTGAGGGGAATCAGCTGTTAAAGGAAGATTGAGACGGTTTCAGATCCTTCCCCCGGGGCTGGGTGCGGCCAATGGAGTCAAATCTGAAGTCAAAGGAACGGTGGGGAGGCGTGGGGACTCCTCCCCTGGACGTAGATGGGACTGAGCGCGGGCCTGGGCGTCTGGGAGAGGCCTCGCGCCACCCCGCCGCCGGTCTAGTGGTAATGGCCCCCCAAGTGCGAGGCGGCGGCTACCGCGCCGAAAGGCCCGGGCGGGGGCTGCAAACCGGGGCTGGGGTAGAGCGCAGCGGTGGCGGCGGCGGTGGCGGCGGGGCCCGGGCCCGGCCAGTAGGAGAAGCCGGTGGGTCCGACGCCGGCAGAGGCGGCCATGAGGTTGAGTTTGGAGAGGCCGGGGAAGGGCAGCGGGGCCAGGCCGGCCGGCAGCTTGTAGAGTGCGCCGTCCTGGGCTGCGGCAGCCGCTGCAGCCGCGGCGGCGGCGGCCTGGGCGTGCGTCGGGGGCGGCTGGCAGGCCTGCGCCAAGCCCTGGAAATCGAAGCGGTAAGCATAGCGCTTGCCGTGCACCTTGCTCATGATGTTCTTGTCGTAGTAGTAGCGCAGCGCGCGGCTCAGCTTGTCGTAGTTCATGTTGGGCTTGCTCTTGCGCTCGCCCCAGCGCCGGGCCACCTCGTCCGGGTCCGTGAGCTTGAACTCGCCGTGGCCACCCTCCCACGCGATGCAGCCTGCGTTGGCACGGTCCGCCAGCAGCTCCAGCAAAAACTGCCACAGCTGGATTTGCCCACTGCCTGTGGGGAGGGGGTCGTCAGCCACGGGCGGGATGGGGGGCTGGAGGTGGGGAAAGGGGTGAGAGGAGACGGGAGACCAACCCAGCTGGAGGGGCGGGCCAGGGAGGGGCTGATCAGCAAAGTTGTCCTAGTCGTGACCGCCTTTTCCACAATAGAAACACAGCCTCCACTTAGGAGGACCAAGGCCCGCCAGCGCCTGGCTTTGTGAGAACTGGGAGCAAGGGCGAAGCATCACCTCCTCTGCAAGGAGGCAGCCTGGCAGCAAGACACTGGGCTCCCTAAGGTGAGCAAGGACAGGATATCAGCCCCTGCGGTCACTTGGGCTTGAGTCCTAATTGGAGCAGAGCCTGCACAACCACGGGGGTAGCCTGCCCAGGTGTTTAAACTGCCACATCCCAGCTGGACCACATTCCGAGAGCCAGAGAGAGGAGATCACCGTGCAACAGGACCACCCTGGCCACTGGACAACGCTCAGCCCCTAAAGGCATACAGTCAGTCCGCTGGCCGCCTGAGCTGGGGAAGAGGTGGTGGCTGGTTTCTTTGCCGCATAACTCAGACAGGAATGGGGACAGGGGCCCCCAGGCATGAGAGGAAGGGCAGCTTCTGAAGGCTCTCTACCCTCCTATACCCCTCCACTCCCCGCCCCCCACTCCTCCCACCGTCTGGCACTGAATAGGTTGGGCCTCTTTTTCGGAACAGGCGGGATTCCTGGCCTGCAAAGTTGCTATACTTCCCCGGGAGATGCACAGCTCTGAGGAGAGGGGCTGAGACTGGGAAACCGACACACTTAGCTCCCTGCCTTCGCCCATCTTTGGTTCACCTCCAGGCTCTTCTGTTCTTGTCGTAGTAGGCCTCTCCCTGTTCTGGGGTTGTTGGAAGTGACAAGGAGGTTTCCCCAGATATTAGTGTGAGGAGAGTCAAATGCCCCAGAGCTCCCACTCCCCTGTATTGGAGCCTCAATCAGACAAGCAGAGACAAATCTTGATATACACACACCCCCACCCCCTTTTAGAATAAAATGGATTTTTCTCAAAGTCTGATTTCATCCAATCGAGCCTGGGGAACCTCTCTTTCTTTTTCAATGACTCGCTCAGAACTCAGATGCTGCCCCCCATAATTTCAACCCCAATCCCTCCACAAGAGCCCAGAGAGGAGCTGCCTGGCTCCAGGTAGGGAGCGTTGGGTTTTAGGTCAGAAGCAAAGGGGGGTTTGGTTAAAAATGTGCAGCTGGTACAGATGCAGAGCACCATCGAAGGCCTGGAAATGCATTCCTGATGGAAGTCCTGTTCCCCTTTGAATAAAACTGTTGCCGGCCTTGTTTTTATGATTAACTGCAACCATGCAATTTAGGGTACCGACTGGATGGGGAGCGGTAGGGAGGCTTTGCCTGCAAAGCCAGTCAAGCCCCACCAGCGAGGCAAAGCAGAAGGTAATGCAGCCACCGCGGAGAGCTGGCCTTGAACATAGGAATCCACAGCAATGACCCAGGGGACTTGGCGGGAAAAGCCTGGCCGCTGCTGGTCAGTGAGTCCGGTAGGTGCCAGTGGTGCTAGTGGTCAGGGAGTAAATCTCCTGGTCTCTTTCTTTGCCCAGTGGTGTCAGGGCCTCCTGTTGCTAGCAAGGAAAGGATGCCAAGCACCTCAGCCTGTCCCCAGAAGAGTAAGTGGGGGCCAGGATCCTCTCCCTCAGCCCTGAAACTTGGAAGATGCAGGAGCTCAGGCCAAGTGAATGCGTCCCCCCCCCCCCCATCCTTCCCACAATTATGCCCGGACCCTCCGATTCCTAGAGCGCTGCAGTGCACATCCCTTCCACCCTCTGTTCTGGTAGCGGTGCCGCCTGTCCTTGGGTGGATGCCCTGGCTCCCGTCCTCTGTCTTGGCCCCC